TTTTTTTTTTTTTTTTTTTTATAAAAAATTTTTTTTTTTTTTTTTTTTTTTTTTTTAGTAACATGTTATTTAGCTTCCATGTCTTTGTGTGTTTTTCAGTTTTTTACTTGTGATTATTTGCTAATTGCATACCATTGTGGTAAGTAAAGATGTTTGATATGATTTCAATGTTCTTAAATCCACTGAGACTTGTTTTGTGGCCTAACATGTGGTCTATCCTAGAAAATATTCCATGTGCACTTGAAAAGACTGAATATTCTGCTGCTTTGGAATGAAATATTCTGAAGATACGAAATAAATCCATCTGATCCAATATGTTATTTAAGGCCTCTGTTTCCTCGTTAATTTTCCCTCTGGAAGGTTTATCCATTGAAATCAACGAGCTGTTAAAAACCTCTACTGTGACTGTATTACTGTTGAACTCTCCTGTTATGTTTATCAAGATTTGCTTTGTATATTTAGGCGTTCCTATGTTGAGTGCATAAATGTTTACAAGGGTTATATCCTTTTGTTGGATTGCTCCCTTTATCATTGTGCAGTGCCCTTCTTTGTCTCTTGCTATAGCATTTGTTTAAAGTCTATTTTGTAAGATATATGTATTGATACTGCAGCTTTTTTCATTTACATTTGCATGAAATATCTATTTCTATACCTTTACTTCTAGTTCATGTGTACCTTTCATAATAAGGAGGGTCCCTTGCAGACAGCATATATATGGGTCACGTTTTCTTATCCATTCAGCTACTCAGTGTCTTATGACTGGAGCATTTAAGCTATTTACATATAAAGTAATTATTGATAGATACGGATTTATTCTTTTAAATATGTTCTACTGCTTTTTTGTTTTTTTCTTCTTACAAAAGACACTAATATTTCTTGCAATATTTGGTGGTAAACTCTTTTTAGGGTTCTTTTTTTCCTGAGAAGCTCTTTATTTCTCCAATTTTAAACTAGTTTTTGTTATAGGTCCTTGGTTTTCCTCACTTTGAATATATCATACAAATCCCTTCTGGCTTGAAATGCTTTTGTTGAGAAATCAGTTGACAGTCTTATGGGAAGCCCCTTGTAGGTAACTAACTCTCTCTTGATTCATTTAAGATTTTCTTTTTGTCTTTAACTTTTGTCATTTTAATTATGATGTGTCTTGATGTGGATCTTTTGGATTCACCTTGTTTGGGACTCTGTGTTTCCTGGGCTTGTGTATCTTTTTCCTTCACCAGGTTAGGAAAATTTTCAGTCATTATTTCTTCAAATAGGTTCTTGATCCTTTGCTCTCTTTCTTCTTCTTCTGGTACCCTTATAATGTGAATATTGTTATTCTTCATGTTCCAAAGGTCTCTTAAACTATCCTCATTTTTAAATTTTTTTATTTTTTCTGCTCTGATTGTTTTCTGATACCTTGTCTTCCAAATCACTGAGTTGATCCTCTGCTTCATTCAACCTACTATTTATTCCTTCTAGTGTATTTTCCATTTCAGATATTCTATCCTTTTCTGATTGGTTCTTTTTTAAGGTTTCTATGTCCTTTTTTATGCTTGCGATCTCTTTGTTGAATTTATCACTAAGTTTCTTGAGCATCTTTACAATAATTTTTTTTTTTTTTAACTCTATATCTGGTAAATTACTTGCCTCCATTTAATTTAGCATTTTTTTGTTTTGCTTTATTTTGTTAGAGATTTATCCTGTTCTTTAATTTTGGGCATGTTCATTTTTCTCCCCATTTTGACTGCATCTTTGTATTTACCTTTATGTATTAGGAAGATCTTCTATGACTTCCAGTTTTGGTAGGGTGGCCTTATGTAATAGGTGTCCTGTGGGACCTTGTGGCACAGTCTCCTTAGTCATCTGAACATGGGGACAAAAGGAGTCTGGAGGGTGGGGGTTATTGCATTCCCCCAGGCTGATGCCTTATGGAGAGGAGTTCTCCAACCAATAAAGATGGCGTATGTGGTGTGGGACAGTGACAGTACAGTGAATCTGTTGGCTGTTCCTTCAGTTCTCTCCCCAAAGCCACAAACCCCTGTCTCTCCTCATGCGACTCTAGTCCGCTCAGTTGGCCTCCATCAGAGCACAGGGTGGGTGGCTGTAAGAATTTGTGCATTGGCCGTTTAATAGGGCACCTCTGTCTCTAGCCTCTAGCAGACTCCTGACTCTCTCTGGAGGACAAAATCCTCACTTATTTTCACAATGACATGTTATGTGGGCACCTTTTCCTGGCTCTGGGGCTCTGGGCTGGGCAGCCCGACTTGGGGTTGAAATCCTATGCTGCTCAGGCAAAATCTCTGCAGGTAACATACCCCTCTGGAATCTCAGCAGTGCCTGTGGGAGCCAGGACAGCCGTTTGAGTGTCTCTACCCTTCCTACCAATCTCAATGTGGCTTCTACTGTAAATCCTTTGTTATAAGACTTCTCAGCTAATCTTTAGTTGGTTATTCAGGTATATTTTTCTATATATTTTTTGCAATTCCAGTTTGGTCCTGGGCGGAGGTAACTGTAACATCCACCTACTCCGCCACCATCTTTGATCACTCTGTCAAAGCACTTTGAATATACAATACTAGCTAAATATAGTTCAGGCACTAGTTACAGAGAAGTGGTGCCCACATGCCTACCTGAAAAACTTCACTATTACTATGGTGAAAGTGTCTTACTACAATGGAAGTGTGTTAGGATAATAAATCATCAATGGCTATATTCTGCTCTGTGAATTTGCACTCATTTAAAAATGTTTACCTAGCCATTAATCTAAAAATATTTACCTTGCCATTAATTTAAACACAGACATATCATATATTTTTTATTTTAATGTCTGTTTTTGAGATGTTCATTTGGAATATATTCACCCCTAACCTTTTCCCAGTGTGAAGTTTTCATCATACCAAAGGATCCAGGTCCATAAGATTAAGTCAGTATTAAGAATTTGGCTATTAAAATGGTTATTGTTTATTCTTCTGTTATATCTACTGCATACATGTTAGAATATTTATGACGACTCTATATCCTATATTTAACAGAAGAGCCCTAATCTCAAATATTCTGTCCTCTTATCCTACATAAAATCATTGAAATATCCGAGAAAAGCTATTTAAAGTCTAAGTTATATCTCTTACACCTGAGGTAAATACAATGATCTCCTCTTGGATATTACATGTGTTGTAATTTGTATTTGGGTAAATATAGTTTCAATATATTTTAGCTTGATAAAAATGTGTACAATCATTATTCTATGAATTTAATTAAAATAGATTAAAGTATATTTTCTGTATATGCACTTAGTTTCTTATAGGGCAAATCTATTATCATAAAAACCTTGTAAAGCAATTATGCTTCTTCCTCAGCATCAATATTTTAAAGATTTAATAATTTTTAATTTGGGAATTTTTCTTTAGAAAGTTATAGTTCTATTTTCTACATTTCTATTTGCATTATGAGAAATATTATTTATTTTTCTAATATCTACATTAAAACACAGATTTGTTGATATTTAAATACAAATGCCTCATCTAATGCAATGTTCCATATTATCTTAAGGGTTAGAATCTGTTGTAAAAGTTAGAAAACATGCACACAAGACAGGAATTCATCCACAGATTATTTTATTCTTCTCCACTGATTTAGTAACTTTAATTTTTCAAACCTGAAGATTACTTTGTATTTTGATTTGTGTTGAAAATATAATGATTCATGTGGCTTAGCATTATTCATGACACAGAAGAATAGTTCCTACTTACAAACAAAACTTCAAAAGAATCTATACGACCCATACCATCCCCGATTTATTCTTTTATCTACCATACTTACCACTGCTATCAGAGTTATTAAAACTCCCCATGATCAGAACCACCCCAGCCTCATTTTTCCTGATTCTTCCCTCCAAGATCTATGTATGATACTATTGCCAAGAAAAACTCGACTGCTTGTAACAACCCAAGTGAAGTTGTTTACTCCAGGAATTCGAAGATCCTAAAAAGAATCAGGGATGGTGTTGCCTTTATATGTTTTGTGTAATGCTAAACCATATAATTACCTCACGTTCAACACAAACCAAAATATCTGAAAATCTAAGTGAAAGCTGGGTCTTGAAAAAGTTATTTTGGTACTTTAAGCTTTAGTTGTTTCATAATATTTAATATGTTGAAGGTGGAGTTATCTCTATTCTCCCCTCCAGCTCTTAAAGGGTATGATTCTTAAACTAGTATATCACCCCACAAATAAATAAAATAGTCTAATTATTACATTCAGGTTGGTTTCAGATGCTAGCTCCTATTCTGAATATTTATATTAAGGGTTATCAGAATTCACTGATTTAAAGAGCTTTATAGTTAAAAATGAACAAATAACTCCACTTTTACCTACCTACCATAATATATACATACCATCATATAACATTCAACTAAAAGAAAAGAGTAAAAAACAAAAACTGAAGTTTTAAAGAATACCTCAGGTGCTACAAAGTTTGCAGTGTAGCATGGAGTTAAGAGAAGCCCATTTTCTCCTCGAAGTTGCTTTGCAAACCCAAAATCACAGATCCTAATGGAGTCTGCATTGGCTGATTCATCCATATATAAAATATTACTAGGTTTAAGATCACGATGAACAACCTTGAACATGAAAGAACAAAGTATTATAAATCTATAGCTAAATAAATATCTGTTAAATAAACATTTTAAATTCGTGTATTTCCAAGAGAATAACTTTCTTAATAATAAAATATTGAAAATGATACTTTGCCCAACCTTCATAATCTTGAAAGCCTGAAGTATTCAGAGAAAATAATCTCTATCAGATAGATGCTCCACTTTCTATTCAAGCTAACAGTTTTGTTAATAACTTCCAATTTCAAAGTATCAAAACTGTTCTCAGTTCCACTTCTGGTTATAATAGACTAAAAGCCTACTTAATATGCCTCTCCGCACAGTAAACAACTATAAAAGCTGAACATAACAGAAAAATAAACTACCTGAAGGTACTGGGGAGTGAACAGAATAAGAAAGACTCTTGTGGGAAGTACACACTTGGCTGAAGGAGGGACTACAGGGAACTATACGAATGGCTTTTAGGCAAGGGGAAAGTGCAGTCCTTATGTGACATCTACATGTGGAAAAGCTTACAGTCTTCCTGATGTGGAAAACCAGAAAAGAGATACTGGGAAACCTTTAATGCTGAGTGGATGGATACTGTAAAGCAAAAAGTCAGAACTACCCCTAAGTTCTGGTCGGGTAGCTCAGTTGGTTAGAGCACTGTCCAGATACGCCAAGGTTGCAGGTTTGATCCCCGGTCAGGACACATACAATAATTAACAAATGAATGCATAAATAAGTGGGACAACAAATTGATCTCTCTCTCTCTCTCTCTCTCTCTCTAAAAATCAATAAATAAAAAATTTAAAAAAGAACTACCCCTGAATCAATAATATGTAGAAGAGGGGTGAGGGGAGGTAGAAGAGGGTAAAGGGGGGAATAAATGGTGACAGAGGAAGAAGACTTGATTTTGGCGGGTAAACACACGATGCAATATACAGGTGTATTATAGAGTTGTACATCTGAAACCTGCATAATTTTATTAACCAATGTCACCCCAATAAATTCAATAAAAATTTTAAAATGTGTAGAAGAGGCTCAAAGTAGTTTATATTAAGATGAAAGATAGAGACCAAAGTTGCTACCCAAAAATTGCTTTTCAGTGCAAAGAATGCTGAGAAAATTATCCGCTAAAACAAAGCAACAAAAAAATCAATAATAATAATTGGATAAAAATAACAGAATAAAAAAATCTCCATAACTTAATATTCCAATGGGCAGTATACAATCCAAAATTATTTGATACAATGAAAACAAGAAAGAACTAAGAAAATAGAACACAGTTTGAAGAAAAAAGGAAATCTATCAATTCTAAATCGAAGATGAACCACATTGGAACTAAAAGACAAGAATTTTTATTTATATATATA